CTCTCTCTCTCTCACTCCCTCACTCACTCGCTCACTCGCTCGCTCTCTCTCTCTCTCTCTCACTCCCTCACTCACTCGCTCACTCGCTCGCTCTCTCTCTCTCTCTCTCACTCCCTCACTCACTCGCTCACTCGCTCGCTCTCTCTCTCTCTCTCTCACTCCCTCACTCACTCGCTCACTCGCTCGCTCTCTCTCTCTCTCTCTCACTCCCTCACTCACTCGCTCACTCGCTCGCTCTCTCTCTCTCTCTCTCACTCCCTCACTCACTCGCTCACTCGCTCGCTCTCTCTCTCTCTCTCTCACTCCCTCACTCACTCGCTCACTCGCTCGCTCTCTCTCTCTCTCTCTCACTCCCTCACTCACTCGCTCACTCGCTCGCTCTCTCTCTCTCTCTCTCACTCCCTCACTCACTCGCTCACTCGCTCGCTCTCTCTCTCTCTCTCTCACTCCCTCACTCACTCGCTCACTCGCTCGCTCTCTCTCTCTCTCTCTCACTCCCTCACTCACTCGCTCACTCGCTCGCTCTCTCTCTCTCTCTCTCACTCCCTCACTCACTCGCTCACTCGCTCGCTCTCTCTCTCTCTCTCTCACTCCCTCACTCACTCGCTCACTCGCTCGCTCTCTCTCTCTCTCTCTCACTCCCTCACTCACTCGCTCACTCGCTCGCTCTCTCTCTCTCTCTCTCACTCCCTCACTCACTCGCTCACTCGCTCGCTCTCTCTCTCTCTCTCTCACTCCCTCACTCACTCGCTCACTCGCTCGCTCTCTCTCTCTCTCTCTCACTCCCTCACTCACTCGCTCACTCGCTCGCTCTCTCTCTCTCTCTCTCACTCCCTCACTCACTCGCTCACTCGCTCGCTCTCTCTCTCTCTCTCTCACTCCCTCACTCACTCGCTCACTCGCTCGCTCTCTCTCTCTCTCTCTCACTCCCTCACTCACTCGCTCACTCGCTCGCTCTCTCTCTCTCTCTCTCTCTCTCTCTCTCTCTGAACAGTGACGCCTACTGGTGGGACAAATATCTGCGCGCGCGGCCTTGCACGTGAACGAACCGATGGATACCAGCGCTCATGCTTCTATTGAGCGCTATAACCATCACTGCTCGGAAAGTAAACGCCGGTCTCTTATTTGCCCTACTCGGGGTTAGGTGTACCCACGGAGTAGCTTCCGCCTGAGACCCACAAACCCTTTTTTTTTCGCTAATTTTTTGAGGACAGTTTCCTTCGGACGCAGTGATCGCATTGCCAAAGATTCGTAATTTTTTAAGAAGTTTTTACTTGTAATTAGGACGAATGTTAACGCATTGACGACGGGAAACGAGAATTGAAATGAAAGGGAAACTTCTATTCACCACATATAACTGCTGAAAATTTCAATAAAATATTGTTAAGCACAAAAATACTTGTCACATTTTTAGTATACACGTGTTGAAGGAATTCTACATCAGTAAAATCACCCGTTGTGTAGGAAAGTTTTAATAAAACTGCCCCGTCGTTAATTTGTTAATATAAATTGCGCTCAGTTGGCCTTTGTGGATAATGCGATGTTAATTTAATCCATTGCACTCGAAATCCAAACAATATTACAGTATTTATATGATATGTATATATGTATGTATATTTTGTATATTGTATGTATATTGATATGTATATATAGTTATGTATATGAAATTGAGCCTATTGGCCAGTAGGATACTTGCACATTTTACAATTTTTTAAAATATGAACGGATGTGATATTGTCGAAATTAATTTTAAACGTGGTGTAACAATTTTCACCGGCGCCTCATTCAGATCACGTCCAATTTGTTTTTGCATCTGATTATGAATCTGTCAAGTTGGTTTTTTAGAGATTTTTACATTTAGAGAAATTGTTTTCGAACTGTGTCCAAACTGTTGACACTAGATTGTGCATGCATTTATGTTAAAAATGAGTAGATAAAATACAATACACTGACACTCTTAAAGGAATTCGACGATCCGTCAAACCCGTTAGAATTATTCAAGATAGGAATAAGTATCTATCTAATTCTTTTTTCTTGCAGTCGACGTACAACATTTTTATTTCGCGTAAAGATCCGCGGTCTAGTTATCGCTTATTTCTTTGCGAATTTGTTCCATGTTTTCTAGAACTAACTAAAACGAAGACAATAGATGATATCTCCTCCAGTGAACTCCTGCAATAAAATTCTATGCGTTAACAGGCACTTACGTCATATAGGACAATTAAATGAACACCGCTGGCAAACCTTTATTACTGAATCGTGGAACTTATTACTGCATTCATGACGAAACTCTTCGAAAAATCATAACACGCGTACGTTTCATTTAGAATAGAATAAAATTCCAATTTAATTCATTTGTGATAGAATGACGTCAGAGAATAATGGCGAATACTTCGGTGATCGAGTGTTCGCACTTATTTCTTAGTAAAATTTTGATTTTACTGTAAAATTAAAGACTTCTTTAGTCAAGGATTATGTGTTTATACTCTAATTGAAAGACATTAGAGAGAGAGAGAGAGGGGGAGAGGAGTGTAAAGGTTAAACGATACGACGGGGGATGGTAACAAAGTTTGCAAATAGCTGGCAATCTAGAGGTGCAGATGAGTCGACAGCACCGGGGTTAATGCATACCAACGAAACCGCAAGCGGTGTACCGCAGCTACAGGTTATCCTTCTACCTACCACGCAGCATGTTTCGTTATTTTATTTGACTTCATTTAATCACCGTGGACGCGTTGAAAGGGGCTGCCGCTGGTGTCGTATGCTCACCGTAGCACGGGAGCTTCGACAAAGGCGTAATCTTCCAGCGACAATGCGTCGGTACCATCTTTCCACACTTCCCTTTTGAACTTCTAATTCCTTTCCTTAACGCCCCTGTACTTTCATGAATTGAAACAGCACGCGTGAAGCTCGGTCAAAAAAATCCAAGTATTCAAGAGTTCTCGTTTTTCTGTTGGAGACTCTCTCTCTCTCTCTCTCTCTCTCTCTCTCTCTCTCTCTCTCTCTCTCTCTCTCTCTCTCTAGAATTTCTTACTGAAGGAATCCTTGAACGATTCTACCAATAGTTAATAGTCTATTAACCAATAGTCTAGACAGATGCAATAAATTTTTATGTTGTCTACTAGTTAATGGATTATATAATTATAAATATAATTATAAACATTTCAAATATTATATTTTTATATGATACTATAATTTTCTTCAAAATTTTATTATTTTCATAATTATATTTTATAATTTTATCAAACTTTTTATAATTAATAGTCTGCCAATTATGAGCAAAAGAAAAATTTATTGCACGTGTTGCAAGATATGGAAACCGTTTAGGCACATTTTCTTTTCTTTCTTTAATAATTTTAGTAGATTGGAGGTAATCCTTAAATACCCTCCAACTCTTTTGATTGTTCTACTGTTTCAAATTGCAACAATTCCTTTCCATCATGGTTATATAAGATTCTCAGTCTATTAACCCTTTGCACTCAAAGCTATTTTAAGTCTAAATCGAAAATAGATCTTCTGACTTATATGATTTCCATTTTATATGACTTAGTGCATTATTTTATGCATATGAAATTGAGTCTTGTGACTCGCACAACAGTTACACTTTTTAAATAGTGTGCAAAGGGTTAATTGAGCCAGATTTAGGGACCCCGAATTGTTCATGTATCTCAAATTCTTTTACGAAGATAATAAAAGTGTATCCATTCAGATTTCCAGCTATTCTATAAAAACGACCAATATTTCTGACGCATGGAATTTCAAAAGAACGTAAATTACAAGTACACAACGATAATTGACATCTAATCGGCAAGTTGCCGGATCGGTGGTAAACGCGATCAGAACGGCAAATCAGAATTTTCAGCCACCTTCGGCTAATAGTACCGCAATCAGAGAAGTGTCAAAGGAGCAATGACGGAAAGGTTGTGATCGTGTGACACATGTCATGCGCGTGTCCAGCCGCGATATTAACCAATTGATTCCAAGAGGAGAGGATGTAACATTAGGGGAGCGTGGTAGGGGAAAGGACACGTTACTACCGAACCAGAAAATATATGAGCGTCGTCATCGGCCGTACCCCAATTCCCTTCCCATCTAATTGTTTCATTGAATCCTTTTCCGACTGACCCCTTTCCCATAACAGAAATGTGTCGTGTAAAATCTATGGGATTGAATCTATTCCAATCGTCATTAATTCTAATTCTCTTACGACTTCGCCGCTAATATCGTTTCATAGAACCAATTTCCTGGCAATCTTCGCGCCTGCGCATTTCTAGTCTTGCAGTCAGATAATGTTCTCTATGGTTAATCTGTTCTCCATGATATCTGACTAGGTCAGGATTCGGTTTTTCCGAAAGTTTTTACTTATAGTTTCGAAGATGAAAATTGTGACATTTATTCGGTTTCTGTATGCAATGGAAAGAAATAATAATCGAGCGGAAGAAAAGTAAATGCTTCGTATGGGTAACGTAATTGTAATGTAACAATGTTCAATATTCATTTGGGTTTGTAACATTGAGTGATCATATCTATCATCTCTTGAATATGAAGCTATCAATTTTTTCAATTGCCGCCTGACTGCGCACTAGAGGCGTCAAATGAGGGAAAAATATTCCTTCTACATTATCAACAGAGTGCGGATTGTTATGCATTTGTGGCTAACTAATAGCATTTTTCAATTAAGTGTTGCTACAACGAGTCAGCATAAGAGATTCTTCTCTCAAATCTAAAATGAAATTAATGATAAAATGATTCTCTCAAATCTGAAAATGGGAAACTGTGTAAAGATCTATAGTTTAATTATCACACACATGACATTTTAGTTCACATAACAACTAAAATGGTTTAATATTCTAATTTAGATAGTAGCCGTTACTTTTTCTACGTACATGTAATTATTTATTCAATTAGAAAATAAGATCAATTCGCTACAATAGTTTAAGATAATTATTTTAATTATAAGATAATTAATTTAATTACAAGACCATTTTCTCTGGCTACAGGGGTGCGTACAGGTTCATCCGTGTCAATATCCTTCTATGGTGGTGGGAAACGCGGCAGCTCACGGTGGCGAAGGTGTTCTCCAGTTACGCGACCGCTCATCCCGAGAAAATCGCCTACATCTTCGAGAACAGGGAATGGACCTATCAAGAGGTAAGTTCGCAATCTTGCCGATGATTGAATGATATAATTTAACTGATGCAATTATTTCTGACAATTGAAACTGAATTTCTGCGATTATTGTATATTCAGACTACAAAATTACGTACACCTTAAATTTTCAATTTCTACATCACGAAATAGACTTCAATTTTGTGGAATTTTTTAGGCTTTTGAATTGGCAGTTCAACGTGTTAAATATTTCATATAATTATTGAAGAGTATACAGACACACAATGGCGAGTAGTGCAACTCGATTCAAATCTGTTAACCCTTTGCACTCAAATGACGACTCGGAGGAGAAAGTAATTTCTACATTATTAAATTGATTTATTTTTAACGAGTTGTTAAATTCGTACGCACGCGATACAAAAACAATACAAAATCGGAAACCATACTTTGAAAGAAATAGTTCCGTTTTGAAGTTAAAATAGCTTCGAGCACAAATGATTGACATTATAATTATGTTTTTTGGTCTACCCAAATACATTAAATTCTCTCTAATCTAGCTTGTAAGCAAAAATGGATAATTTGAGAAGAGGAGGTGCGATTATTCGAGTCTTTCGGCTCGTTTTTATAGTTGTTGACAATTGATAACTATAAAAGGCTTGAACAATCGTTTCTCCTCTTACCGAATTTTCCATTTTTATTTCCAAGCTGAGCGAAAGTTCGGAAGAATTTACTGTACTTCAAATAGCAAATTTGTGCGAATTTTATTTTCTCGATGATTGTTACTATTCGATGGTATTATTAAATGGCAATGCAGCTGGAAGAGTACAGTAATCGACTAGGACGATATAAAACAGCTTCGAGCACAAATGGTTGACATTATAATTATGTTTTTTAGTCTACCCAAATACATTAAATTCTCTCTAATCTAGCTTGTAAGCAAAAATGGATAATTTGAGAAGAGGAGGTGCGATTATTCGAGTTGTTGACAATTGATAGCTATAAAAGGCTTGAACAATCGTTTCTCCTCTTACCGAATTTTCCATTTTTATTTCCAAGCTGAGCGAAAGTTCGGAAGAATTTACTGTACTTCAAATAGCAAATTTTTGCGAATTTTATTTTCTCGATGATTGTTACTATTCGATGGTATTATTAAATGTCAATGCAGCTGGAAGAGTACAGTAATCGACTAGGACGATATAAAACAGCTTCGAGCACAAATGGTTGACATTATAATTATGTTTTTTAGTCTACCCAAATACATTAAATTCTCTCTAATCTAGCTTGTAAGCAAAAATGGATAATTTGAGAAGAGGAGGTGCGATTATTCGAGTTGTTGACAATTGATAGCTATAAAAGGCTTGAACAATCGTTTCTCCTCTTACCGAATTTTCCATTTTTATTTCCAAGCTGAGCGAAAGTTCGGAAGAATTTACTGTACTTCAAATAGCAAATTTTTGCGAATTTTATTTTCTCGATGATTGTTACTATTCGATGGTATTATTAAATGTCAATGCAGCTGGAAGAGTACAGCAACCGGCTGGGGCGATACTTCATTTCGACGTCATTGACCAGAGGGAGCAGGGTCGCTTTGATCATGGAAAGTCGTCCCGAATACGTGGGCACGTGGCTTGGCTTGAGCAAGGCTGGGTACGTGAGCGCGCTCATCAACACGAATCTTCGTCACGAGGTGTTGGTGCACAGCATGAAGGCGGCCGACTGCAAGGCAGTGATTTTTGGCGCGGAGTTTGCAGAGGGTAAGTTCTGCGATCGCATTAGTCGGTGGATAATCATTGAAGAATTAAATGGGGTAGATGACTCCTTATCGATCGCATTAGTCGGTGCATAATCATTGAAGAATTGAATGAGGTAGATGACCCCTTACCGATCGCATTAGAACGCGACTGTTGTATAATAGGCATTGTCAACCAACGTTTATGAATATAACATTAACGAATATTTACTAGTGATATCGTTGGTGTTGCTCGGTTGTTTTTCAATGTTAAAAGCTAACAGTTTCAGTGTAAAGCGACTTCATTATTGTTTCATTAATTGGCAGTTCTAAATTTTGTATTTTATGAATATAACATCAACGAATATTTACTAGTGATATCGTTG